TGCGCCCAGGCGCGGGTCAAGGGGTACCTCCCCTTGGCTCTGACCCCAAGCAAAGCAAAGCAAAGTGAGAGTGTAGGGGGTCAAACTCCTGTGCCATAGCCCTGGCGAAAGAAAGGAAGAGAAAGCGAGGAGTACCCCTGCACCATAACCCCGGCCCAAGAAAGGGCTCAGAAAGGGTGTGATGTTGACCTGGTGAGTGCAGCCAATTTCTAAGAACATGTATCGTAGTGGTATGCGACATCGTATACTTCATTGCTTTAGCTGTGAATACCACTACTACGTGACACTCCCGCGTTTCCGCAAGTATCCCGATACACATTTCTGGTGGGCCTGTAGGGGAGTGAGAGAGTGCATGAGTGCTAAGGTGGACTCGTAAATCTGGGAAAACACCGTCCAGCAACACAGGGCCCAGCCACGGAGAGTCAGGCCAGACTGAGCATGTTCTGAGCACCCGGAGTTTCGTTGTTAGTCTTCGGGCTGCAGTTTCACGGCCTCCCCTGCCAGGTGCTCATACTCACTACATCTTTGTGGAGTCCAGCGGTCAAAACTATCCGGATGTGCAGTTCGTGCTCCAGAGTGCCAATTTCTCAGCCGGGTCAAGCGATCGTGCGCTGTACTTCCAATGCAGCTCCTGGGCGCAAGAACTCTCTCTCCACACAACCAGTCTCCTTAAAGCATCCCCTTCGGCGGTCCTTGCTGATGTTTAGGGAGAGATCTTCGCGCAGGAGTACATACCATCTGAGGCATGTACGGCAGCAGCATGGGCAGTCTCGCGCTCGAGTTTGCCAGCGCTGGTGGCTGGACGCAGCTTTGGGAGCAGTCAGGAGCCGTTAGACAAGTTCCCGATGTTATGACGTATGTGTTATGACAGTAGCGACAGGTGATTCATTAAGAGCAGATGTTTCCGCTGAGATGGTCTCAAAAAGAGACAATGAGTGTCCAGGAGACCAGGGTGCAGGATGGTTTCCAGTCGCCGTCACAATCCCCGGCCAGGCTACTGCCTTGCGCTTCGTTGGAATCACAGGCGATGCTCGCGATGAGCCGGCTAATGCAGATTGTCGTAGATAGAAATCCCCGACCACAGTTAGCCCTGGAGCCCTGTTTTCGTCGAGGCTCTTCCTACCGGAGTGATATGGCCTTGGACTCCATCGTGGCATCTGATATGGCACCGACGCCGCCACCTCCAGTGCCTGTTGACCAGGCTTGTTGGCACGAGTTCCGAGGGTCTTAGAGAAGCATACCTGAGATTCTCGGTGAAGGAAGAGAAACCGTGAGAAGCCAAGAAACAGAGTAACCGGAGGAATCCCTTTAATCCCCCCAGTTCTTTTCAGTAACCTGAGACTGCCGGGCCGGTGTCCAGCAGGCCCTACAGACAGTGCATTTGGCATGTATTGGTTTGCATTGGCCCGCAGGCGCTCAGCTGCGACTTCGAGTCCGACTTTTGCAACTGGCTCTTCGAGGGTGACGAGGACTGGACACGGAGGTCAGGGAGCACGCCGAGTTCCAACACTGGTCCGAGCTCAGCACACGGTGGAACACATTATGTCTACACAGAAGCGAGCAGTGGCAACAAGAACAAGCAGTTCATCTTGGAGTCGCCTACCTTTGAGATCTCTTCCTTCCCCAAAAAGCTCTCCTTCTACTACCATATGAAGGGAAGCAAAATGGGCGACTTGAAGGTGATGTCTTCAGTGGTTTCTGCAGGAACAGGACAATCTGCCTGGAATACTCTCTTCTCTGTGTCTGACAGCCAGGGAGATCAGTGGTTACTTGCTGAAGTGGACATTCCGGGTGATGTCAACAAGCTGCGCATCGTCGGAGAGACCGGAGATGGGTGGTCGAGCGACATAGCTGTAGACGACATCACGGTAGTCTAAGCACGAGAAGTGGACTGTACTGCTCAGTACTGTACATTAAGCGGGGCACGCAAGTGATGCCAATCTGGCTGAACTTAAGCTGTGGCACTCCTGCAGATGGACAGACAGTCCGGCAGACATCTGCCAGGGCTTGGCAGACAAGTAAACGCGTAGTAGCTATGCCTCTGCAGCCTCTGCAAGATCATGCCAGATTCTCATGAAATTGATCTTGCTATCCCGCGCGCCAAGCATCGCAGGCTCTACATGAGCTATCGAAGAACACCTCATTTCTAGACCATACAGGCAGATTGTACTGTGACAGTTGTCGTGGCATTCTTGGTTGCAGTAGCAGTGCAAGCAGCCGTAGTAGGAGTCAGCCGCAGCAGCCAACGGCAATAGACTTCAGCAGTTCGCTGGTCCTTGAGGTTGCGATGGTTGCCATTGCCAAGTGGCTTTAAACATGCTCTTGCTGACTTCAGCGAAATTAAGCCAACATGGACCAGGTATGATAGAGGGGAAATGCCGAGCCACGACTAAGTCACCGCAAACTTTGCACCACGTCTTTGCGAGCCCCACAAAACTACCAGCACCTCAACAGCTCGGAGACTCTAGCTAGGACAGGATGCATGGCAAACTCACGCCATGGGCCCTCGGCAAGCTTCCAGTCAACATCCCAGATCCAGCCTCACGAGGCATTTCTCTGCTACAGGTGCAGGAACTCTCGGAGTTCATCCAGAGGCTATGCAAGACCGGCCTCTTGCAACATCGGGACAACGAGTCCGATTGGTTACACTGGGAGGACATCCTCATGGAAGACATGGCTTCATACATCCTGAAGCCTGCCATACGATACCTCGCAGCGGACATCAGCAAAGATGTTGCAACCAATGATTTGCCACCTGAGTATGCCTGGAGCTGGATAGAGATCGTGGCGTACGGACCACAAGATCCCAAAGTGTTTGTGTCTTTCAGTTTGCACAGCGGATTTCGTGACTTCATGGGCAGCGTACATCATCTGGCTGATGACCAGGGCATGACAATCCGAGACAACATGTGGATTGGCATGTTTGCTCGGGAGGAAAGTGCTCCAGCCCACGTCTTCGATTTGCTAAACTCCCCTGTCTTCAGTGCTTTCGGCAAGTCCGAGGCAACAGCCCTGTTTCTGGACGAGCATGCCAGCATCTTGGAGAGAAGTTGGTGTATTTTCGAGATGGCCATCATCACCGACACGGCTACAAGTCGCAGGCGATGGAAGCTGCGGGAAGAGCTCGCTAGAGAGGAGGGATGTAGCATCTTTAATGTCAACGAGGAGAAGGTGTTGCAAGTTGAGAAGGAGCGTTTCGTGGAATACCGAGCGCCAAGTTCGGACGACATCTTCCAATCCGAAAATTGTCGTTTGGATTGGCAGGTGAGGTCTGAGCTGGCCGGGGGTGGTGATCCATTCTCGGTTCCTTGGGAAGAGGTGCGGGAAAGGATTCGGTTGATGAGGCAAGGAGGAGGTATTGAAACCAAGCCCTTGCTGCTCTGTCGAAACCTCAGTTTTCATGCAGTCAGTTTATGCCGCGCAGCTCTAAACCCGAAACTCTGGACTGGAGCCGTAGTAGCTGCTTAGGCACCCCCGACGGCTTGGTCGGCACCAGACGTGCAACCTCAGTTCCTGTCCTACATGCCCTTCTACACTCCTTCTGCTGCAGCAAAACGGATGCCGCCAGCAAGGCTGAACGACGGCTAGTCATGAACTACATTGCAAACTGCTACTGTGAAGATGACAGAAGCAGTGCAAATTTGTTGGATGGAATTCGCACTGACGGCGACGTGTACGAACTGGAGAATGGCGAGACTGTGTCTGAAGCACGGCCAGGATCCTCAGGTCTGCGGTCTGCGTTCGGCATCCGGTCGGCCTGGCAATTGTCTGCTCCAAGGCGACTGGACGGCTCTCCTGAGTACCAGCATGAGCACAGCTCCAGCCTCACTCGACACGTATCAGCCTTGCAAGTGCATCCCGCACTGGATAGACACGAACCTAGTTGCTTGATTGTTGCAATACATTGCAATACCATATCCAGCCAGGGGTGTCGAGTCAAGACGTAGTTTTAGGTCTCGGCTGAGGTCTTGTCACCAGCAATGAGCACACCGCCGTCAAGTTCAAGATCCTCGACCACAGCATTCGACAGGCATGGCACAGCGTGGCACATGTCGGCCAAGAGCCTGAGCCGCATGGAAAAAAGTTCCTGCAGGAATGCAGAAAAGCTCTCGAAGCCAGCGTCCAAGAGGGCCGGAAGGTTTCCTTTAAACCCGACACCCCTGCGGTAACCAGGGGACTCAACGGCTTGTTTGGGCATGTAATTATGTTTGGACCTGCGCGATATGACCAGACGGAACAGAGCTAGCCACTAGCAGTCATCTCTAGCCGGATAGCTTTCACCGATGCACGCAGGTCAGAAGTCCTGTCACCTTGCATCATGTGAAGGTACGTCCTGCTGGGAAACCCTCATATGCCTCAACATAAGTCTTCGCAAACATAGCACTGTCTTAGCCCCGTGTTACTTGCTGCTGCTGCTGCTGCAGAGCCTCGAAGTGTCAGAGACTGCACGACAAGGTTGGAACCGTCCGTGACCCAGTTCCCGAACTCCAGGCCCGTGGAGTCAAGGAGAGCTTCGACAACTGGAACAACTTCTTCGACTTGAAAAGAGCCTGTGCCTCAGAGGCTTCTGAGAAACCAGGGCAAGTTGCAGAGGACATTAACATGCAGCGAAGGCTCTACAGTGTGTTCATGCTAAACTTACCATAGGTAGCTGGTAGCTACGGATCCAAATTCAATCTATCCAATCCTTTCGAGTCTAGTCTCATCCATTCTGGTTTAGTCTAGTCTCATCGCTGCTAAACTAATCTTGCTACACATACATACATACATACATACATACATACATACATACAGACATGCATACAGACACGCATGCATGCTCACATATTTATCTGTGTGTGTATATATATATATACATGATACTACACGCTCAGCAGACAGCAAAGTGCAACACACCCTCACCTACTCTCGCTCTCTCCCGTCGCTCTCTCCCGTCGCTCCCTCTCTCTCTCTCTCTATCTCTCTCTCTCTCTCTCTCTCTCTCTCTCTCTCTCTCTCCTTGTGCCAAATGCCTCGGATGGGGCGCGCGGGAGGCGGTTCGGCCCCCCGATGCTTCGAATCTTCAAGAGATGTGGTCAACACGCGTGGGCAGCGGGGCCGTGCTCGTGCTCTTCAGAGAACAATGCGATGAGGGTATTGAATGCAACCCGAGAAAGAGGTAAGTGCAGAGTTTGTCTGCGGCCAGTCGTGATTGCCACTGTGCTCCGGGGTTCGACGACCTTGTGCTGGGCAAGTCTACTGGGGGAAAGCCTCACGAAGTGTCATGCTGACTTACGAGGGGGGACTCCCGGATGTGCGGGTGCGTACAGGGCGAGGGGTGACCCATATCGTACCAGACCGGAAGCAGTCAAAGAGACCAAGCAAAAGCGCGGAGGAAGGCCTGTCGAAAGACTGCAATCCAACGAGAGCAAGCAGGCAAAGAAACTAGGTGTCGTCAATAGGAGGTTAAAGGATCTTTAAAGTAAATCGTGGTCGCTGCACAGTGTTCATTAGCCCTACCGAGCTCGTGCCGTCAAAGGGGAGGTTGCTCAGCTTCTGAGCCGATCTGACATCCACTTCAGCACCTGGGGAACTAGAGCCTAGGGCTGTATGAATGAGGCCATGCCGATAGCGATTCATCTTGTCTGCTCTTTGTGGTTTGCGATGAGGTTTGCAACGTCATGCCACCTGAGCATCGTGCGCTCACTTTGCCTCCCAGCTGCGGATTTATAGCGAGTGTGTTTCGCAGCTGCAGGTTTTGTAGACAGCCCCAGATGTAGCGATGTAGAGCCCATGAAGATGGCTGATTAAGGTCACAGCTTCGGATTCTTGCCAACATGCTTCGCCGGATGCTTAACTGGCTTGCTCCCTCTGGTACCTTCCATGATGCCAGTATTGATAGTGCTGTTTTTGCTTTCATGAGCTCGGGTTCTATCAGCGATCACTCTCGGCAGGTAGGCGCTTGGTGGAATTTGGAGGTCTGCCTGCGTGGTACAAAGCCAGCTCCAGAGACCTCTGGAACAAGGACAAGGCGACCCGATAAGGTTGCAGAGAAGTTTCGCCAAGATCGCTCCATGTTGAGCATATGGGAGTTTCCGAAAATAAGGGGTACCGTATTTTTCGGGTCCTTAGAAGAAGGATCCTACTATTTAGGGTGCTAGATTAGGGTCCCCTATTTTCGGAAACCCCCATGTAAGGCATAGGACTCAGAGTGGGTCGTAGACGTATAGATAGCAGCCCATGTGACCGCTGGATTGTCACCCCCGGGTCCATGGCAGACTGTCGAGAGGAGCTTCACGTTCTTCGTGACATCCTTCCCGTCAACAGCTCCTTCTCGGAGTGCCAGCCTTGGCGAGTCTTCGAGGGCGGCTGAGGGGATCCACGAGACAGCCTGTCAGCATGATTTTGCTGTTGTCTCGCAGGTGCTTTCAAACACAGCGCCAGCTGCCCGACACCTACGTCATATGTCCTGAGGACGCATACGTGGCCTTCGCTGGGCTAACTTGACTTCGCAATGTTATGGAAAGCTCCATACTGCTCCGTTCAATTTGCAGGACGTGAAGTTGGTGGCCTTATTCAGCGCAATAGAAAGACATGCAGAGGTTTCCGAACTGCAGCGCCACAGCACTCAACGGTTGAATGTTACCAACCGGAAGGCACACCTTCTTCCGGAGAAGACGACCTACTACGTGGATGCTTTGTGTAGAAGGAGCTCGAACGCACACTGAATCACGTCAATGATGTCTGACGGAAGATTCTATTGCAGTTCACCAAAACAGTGTTCGCAAGAGGCGTGGCGAGCTGGAGAAGTCAGCCAACGAGTCCGCAGAGAAGACCCAGCGCCTCTTGTCAAACACTGGCAGAGGCGTTCTGCCCAGCACTTAGCAGCCTTAGCACTTAGCACTCCCTGTGTGCCGGTGAAGCCTGGAGCTGGAGAAGTCGAGGCTCATCCTTGACCAGCCGACGAGCCTTACCTGGCGGCACAATGTTGCCAGTCTGTCCGCTCCCCATCTTTGTAACCGGAGAAGAGGGGAGGACCTTTCTGCAGCTTTCAGGTGGTGCTTGTACGAGCTGTTCTTTGCAGACAGACAGGCGCCTTTGCAGCTGTGCATGAGCTGAGCATTGATTCTCCCGGCCAGGGTCTTCTGTGGGACGTGGCTTGTGGAGAGGGTATCGTGGCAATGCGAGCTCCGCTATCCACGAAGCGATGGGTTTTTGGTCAGTTCGACTCTGCGATCGCCTGGAATTTGTCATCAATCCGGGTGAAAGCAGAAGCTGCCAGATGTACAGTAACAGAGGAGAAGGACATCTTGCTGTCAAAGCTGATGCTTGGCGGAAGCATTGGATTCTTCGCATACTGTAAGTCTGTAGGATTCAATTCTGAAGGTCATTTTCTGGACGCAGGATTCGGACAAAGCTTTGCGCCTAAATCTTAACGGTGCCTAAATGCAAAGTGTGAGAGCTAAGACATGTCAGTGGTATACGGACTAGAACTGGGATTCTGCCTCACCCCTCAAAGACCCCCCTGCTCGCAAGGATGGAATTCGGAAAGAATTGCATCACAGAGTTCGAGCAGAAGATGACTGCCAAGGCCTGGAGAACTCGGCCGAGCAGACCGCGGCCATGGTAGTAATCTGCTATAAGGGAGTTTCCGAAAATTAGGGTACCTTATTTTGGGGTCCTTATAATAAGGCTCCTATTATTTAGGGTACTATATTAGGGTCCCCTATTTTCGGAAACCCCCATAATAAGAATCTACTTTACTTCAATGGCCTATAATACACTATATTATGCTATAATATGGTGTAGTTTGTTATATCATACTATATCTACCTATAGTCTTCATTGCGGTTCCTTTTGTGCGGATCCCTTCTAGGATACTTAATATAACACTGGCTCAGCCCACAAAACGAACTACAATGGGTGCTATAGGTAATGTCCCAGTGCAGGCGAGCCTCCCGACTCCGGCGATTTTGCCAGCTTTGAATGTCTTCTTTCTGATAATATCCTTCCCCGAGGTCTCCAGGCCCTAAACCCGAAAAACCGTGAAGCTCCTTCTGTGCTGCTTGGATCTGCAGCCCTTGCTCGATGCCGCCGACTGTGGCCAGTGTAAGTACCCAGACTTTCTGAGAATGACCAGAGTGGAGAAATAGAAGCCGCCTGATACACTCGATCGTTCTGCGACATCGCTTCCACTCTCATGTCAAGCTGACACGGTAAGCGTGTGAGCTCTGCCATCCCCACGGTCACGGCACGGACTAGGGTCACTCATGGCCCAGAGCACGACTTGTTGGATGTGCCAAGACTTAAAGCATTTCCCAGTGCAGATTTCCATCTGAGCGTGCAGCTTTTGCAGATTGCACGTTCCGACGCGCGCGGTACCATGTGCAGGGGAGTTGCATTCAATTTTCACAGGAAGGGAGGTGAAAAGCGTGTCAGCCGCTGGGCTGCCTCACTCACTCGCTCGCTTTCTTGCACGCGAAGGCTTTGCAGGACTAGTTGTCATCAATGTTCTCGAAGATCCTTGCTCGGAGGATAAGTAAGCATTGCACCATTAAGAATTTCGTATACTGAGGTCCGAGGCTTGGCCCCAATCAGCATGTAGTTGGTATTACCAGGCGTCCCTGATGATATCCTCAGCTTACTGTGGAGAGCTTTGTTAGCCAATTCAGGCCTGCGACGCTCAAGAAAAACAAGCAAACAAGCGTGGGCGCAAAAAAACTCTCTCTCTCTCTCTCTCTCTCCACACACACTCACACACACATACACCCAAGAATAAGTTTCTGTGCCTTGCTTGCACGGCAGGTCCCGGCCAGAATGCTTGGGCCCGTGCTGCGGAAGGCCAGCTACAGCTAAGGTTGGGGTAGCGGCCGCCGTTTTGCTCATCTTCGTATCTCAGGCGGCGTGCATGAGGGACAACCAGGACTTCGAACGCTTGCGTGATGCCTGTGACATCATGGCAAAGCTGCGATGCCGGCTTCCCAGTCCAGTTTCCGGGTCCCCCAAAACTTTGCGACTCGAGCCGTTCCGGCCGTCTCGTCGAGGCAGTGGGGCGCACATTAATCTGGCGAGTCTCGAGGGCGGCTTCGGGGAATCGGCCGAGCACACAGTTGCAACCAGTGTTGCCACCACTGTTTCATGGCATGCGAAGGATCTCCCAGGTGAGTTGACATGCACACGCGATACTCCATAGAGGTAGCCGAAGGCAAGCGTTAACTTTGCTCAAGAAGCACTTCTGAGGCATTGCACATTGCGGCAGCAGCAGCTGTGGTGACGGGCTTACTCTTAATCAAAGATGCAGGAGACAAGCTTGAGAATTACCAGGGGATTTGACCCGGAAGAGAATTTGATCTGCATGTTGACAGTGACAGCCCAGGATGGCAGTGCTAGGTGTGCCAGAGCTGTTGAGATGCTCGTGCGCACTTGGCTCAGACTTGACATGAGAAGAGCTGCCATCAATGCGCAGCCTGCAGATGCAAGTGAGCCTCATTACGTCTATGAAGACATCGGGTTGCTTGGCCGAGGTATGGGCATGGACGTGAATGCCCAGGACGATGCCGGCGAGACGCCCCTGCACTGGGCTGCCATGACAGGCCGGGCCATTGTGCACTCTGCAGAGGGCGCTTGAAAGAGTGCTTTTCCCGTGTCGCAAGGCCGAGCATGGGCCACTGGATTTCTTCTTCGCAACGGCTCCGATCCGCTGCTCGCGAGTTGGTCGGGTCCTCCTGGCCTGCTTCAAAATCTTGTGATTAGAACAGGGTTTTGGGCTTCTTTATAGTATTTTTATAACAATAATAAGGAACCCTAACAGTATTTTGGGTAATTAATTAAGAGGCGCTCCAGGCTGACTCAGACTGCCTTGCCTGCCTTGTGAAGTGCCAGGTTTCCGGCCCTTTGACGTTTGTTGCACAGGGCCGGTCACTCGGGAAATGTGCCCAACTTGGTGCTGCCGCAGACGCCCACGTAAATTCTTCCTGACTGCTGGTCAAGCATTTGGAGCCTCCTTGCACAACCAGCTCAAGCAGCCTTAACGAACCCAATAGCGTTGGGGAAGATGCTAGGTTCTGTCAATCTCCTGTGCTTGGACAGAGGCCAGCCGCATTCCTGGGAGTGGATTCGAAGCTGCCTGGCAGAATTCTTGACATCGTCGAGGCACAAGGTCTGCACGCTCTTCGCCGGCTTGTCTCAACATTTACACTGTTGCGGTCATTTGCATTCAAGTGGGTGCGCAGAGCCAGTCTATTTAAGCAGACATAAGCAGACCTACACCTCAAGCTCCGGCCCGAATAGAGCAAGACGTGGAACAACAATCCATAAGCCTGAAAGACACAGCACACTCGTTTGGACTCCAAGGAAGGTCTATGAGATTCTCAAAGGTTGGACACAGGCCCTGCGAGACATCTGCTGAATCATCTTGTGTTCAGAAAGTTCTAGAACGAATTGTGCACATGTTGCTGGGCGGCTTTCTTCTGATCGCAGGCAACAGTCACTGCTGGTCACGCGGCCTTTGCCTTCGATGACGAGGCCCCGCACGGGATTTTTAAACATGTCTATACCGACTTCCGAAAATCGTGAGCGTGCCTGACTTGGGCAATCTACGGGATAAGCCCACTATACTGCAGAAACCATGCAGTCTTCACTGCCAGGATATGGATCGCCCTTGACCGAGGCAAAGGATCTTCGTGCTGCGGATGAAGTGTGCAACATCTCCTCCAGAGGGTTCTTTAAATAACCCATCCATCTCTCATCGGCCTTCGAAGCTGCAGTTTTAAGCTCTAAGCTCGAAGATTGATAAGTTCTGCTCTGAATCCATGTCGTGGTGCAGTGGCAGACTGTGAGCGACTTGGGAGAGGAAACATGCTTACTCATCCTTGTCTCGAGCCTGAGAGAAGTCGACACGGAGCGAAGGATTCAAACTTCGATGGGTTTCGTTCCTGCGCTGGCCAGAAACTCGAGTGTCCTTCAGGGCCGGAGGTGTAATTCTAGCTCAAGGCCCAGAGCCCGCCCTTCATTAGAGGCTCGGCTAAAGTTACAGACGCTGCAGGCCTTACCCGGTGTGACATCCATGACAAATCTTCGGCAGGCATGCAGCTGCAGGCTTGAAGAGCTCCTCGCGCTGCGACTTCTGAGTTGTTCCGTAGTCACTTGAACATTCGCTTGTGAGCACCGCACCACGCTTTAAGTTTGCAACCCCAGGTGTAAACTGCAACGGATGTTTCATCATGATGTGCCGAATGCAACAACACAGGCTCGCCACCCTTGCCCTTTGTGGGATTTCAGGTTGTAGGTGTTCGGGTATCGACCCTACGGCTTTGACACATGTGGTGTTACTCGTAGTTAGGACATGTTAGAACTACGGTCTGCGTGAGTACCTAATACTCCACCGAAGCTTGAATATCGCAGACCAAGCTGTGACAAGGGCGCAGCAGTCGTTGTAGAGCCGCAGCCCACGGAGACAAGGATGATTCCTGTGGCAGCTACAGCCTCAGACCCATCTTTGGGAGCCTGGCCGTGTGGGTGAAGAAGCCTGCTCCTCTGACACGTAGAGTCCTGAAGATGGAGTCTGTCACCATGGCTGCCAGCATCACGCCTGTCTTCTGATCGCAGGGTGTGCCTCCCTTAGCATACCTCAACAGTCCAAAACGCACGTTGTTGGTGTCAACCCGAGCTTGGGCGAAGGTCTGCATCTCAATGTTTTCAGAACCGCAGCAAGTCCTGAAAGAGGATCTTGCTTCGTCGCAGCAAAAACTCTGCACATCATGAGGAGATTCTTTCCTGTCATCAAGAGACGAGTTGTCAACCTTTGCAAACGAGCTTCCCTGGCCGCACAGCTTGCTTGCGCAGCAGAATGTAGGGAGAAGCCCAGCTGGCAAGAGTGGAACATCCAACAGAACAAATCCAACAGCAGTCGGCACTATGCACCCAACAATGCTGATGGTTATTGATTTCGTATGAGGTTGGCTGCGGATACTGCGAGTAGACATAACAGCCCCCATTGGTCTTGCCAAATGGAAGTGTAGCTCCAGGCTGCAGCTGAACAGCATGTTAAGGTGAAGCGAAGGCAAGGCCACTCGCAGCCATGGGTTTCAAATATGTCTTTATTCCAGCATCGGCCAGTGATGACATGCAGGAGCGGATGGCTGAATTCAGGTTTGTAGTTCCTGGAAGCGCTGTTTCGACTGTGAAGGAGCTCGACTTCGAAAAAGATGTTGCGACCTTGGAGGAGGTTTCGACGCGAACGGCCACCCCACCCCCCTCTTCGTGATGCCCGCGCACCCTGAACTCTGACAGGACACCTTCCGCACGTTCGTCGAGAACTTCTTTGCTCGAGTCGACTTCTCAGGAATTCGGCGGTATGATGACTCACGCCACCGCTTCGTAGGAGATTCGGGTTGTAGAAACCATGGAGATGGGGCCCTACGGTACAGTGTTGCCCTGACGGCACCTAGGCTGGCGCTACCGCTGACCGTGGGGTGCTGTTGTGCGCCAGCTGAGTTATGCAGCTCTTGAATGACATATCTCCGAGTCTGGGCAGGCAGCAGCTGAAAGATCGGACCGGCGTCGACATCCAGGTGTCGCGAAATTGTGATGCAGCTGACCCAAGCCCTGCCACGCTACAAGGTTTGGGCTTCGATGTTCATCGCCTAATTAGTGGACGGCCAATGCCCGGGGATGCACACCCTCTATTGACATCAAAGTTTACAGTATCTTCGAGCTTGAGAGCATGAACAGCTGTTGTGGTGAAGGCAAGCTAGCTTCCTGCTCGGCGAGTCATGAATGTTAGTGTTAGCAATGGTGGGCCATTCCAGTGGCCATTCCTTTATGCGGCCACACGGATGTCCTCACAGAAGCTCGAAAGCAGTCCGAATCAATACGAGCTGCACGCCTGGCAGGAGAAGACAGACAAGGGCGAGATGCCAAACGAGGTTGCGGCTCACCAGTTAGAATCATACATCTTATGAAGATGGTAGTCAAGTTGTCTTGGGGGGCACAGATGCTGGACAAGCTGCTCTCTGCCAGCAGCGTCGAGATATTCCCAGTGCAGCTTCCGACGAAGGAAACGTTCTGACCATCCGTTACAAGACAGTGCGTGCTTCGTTGTGTAGCTGGGAGTGTAGCGACTAGCCCTGAGAATGAAGGAGACCGGGTTCCATGCAGTTAGTGTGTGCCCCCCCCACACTTCCGTGCTTGCCTGGAGACAGCTTGGCATGCTGCGCAGCAGAGCATTTCAAGGCCAAGATCCATGAAGCAGCTGCGACCAACATCCAGAAGCCAGGTACCTTGATGACAAGGGTGTGGCCAAGAGCCTGGAGGACTGCCGCATCGCTTCCCGGACTGTGAAGGATCCCTAAGGCAAGCTCCACCACGCCCTGGAAATAGAAGCATGCGCAGGAGAACGTGCGCGTCTCCGGCCTTGTGCAAGCCGCAGCCTTGCAAGGTCAGACTTCTGAGCAGAGGGAATGTTTTGAAAAGTGTCCGAGGCATGTGGATACCCCGGGCAGACGTTCAGAGGGGACTGCTTTGTCGGACGGGTGTTCGACGACACCCAGGCACCATCTGAGAATGTTTGGGTCGCGGGCAAGAGCGGTGAAGTTGAGGATGAGTGGAGGAGGATGGACTTCACCCTCAAGGCCGGCTCTAAGGGATGTGTTTTTGACAGCGGGACATAAATAGAGATGCAGACAGGATTGCAGCACTGATGCTGATTGGATCCAGCAGACGAAGCTTCAGCGTGCCAATAGGTGCACCGACCAAAACCTTTCCTGGGGTGTGACATGCTTGCTGCTCGACGCAGGAAGCCAGGCGACCTGAAGAACCTGGCGAACAGCATTGGTGCCAATAATCCTGTTCCGCGGCTGCATGTCTGGCGTCTAGCCAGTATCCGGCATCCCTTGTGGCCGATTGGTCAATCCGCCTAAGGCTCAGATTAATCCCTCCATGATGGCAGAGACTCCGCAGGGTGAGACTGCAGACTATTCTTGGAAGCAGGCTCGGACATGTTCCATCTGTCCTCCCTCACTGGGTCAAGGGATCCGTCACAGGCGGTCGAACCACGGTGCCTAGAGGGGGTCGCACCTCGCAGCAGCTTTCATGGGCGAAGGAACCGTGAGATGAACGAAGACGTTTTTGCCCCACCCAACATGCAAGAGAAAGCCGGAACTCTGACTCGAGAGTTCAAGCAAGTCTACGTCAATATGCCCTGTGGCCAGTCAGAAGACGAAGTTGAGGTGCAGATCTTAGCGGCTGCATTGCAGGAGACGGTCGCCTGACCTGGCCCTGCGGCCCTGTCCTCCCCCGAGGTCACCTTCAAGCAGGAAGGCTTGCAAAAAGGCGACAAGAAGTACGTAAAGGCCGGGTTAAAATCAAAATTCTGGGGAACGGCCAGCCGCGTTCAGCAAGATGACATTGCAGCTGCCATGCAAGCATCTGCAGCAATGATCAACATCCCAACACTCTAACACAGCCAGTCGAAGAGGCATCTGGAGTCGTGAAGCTGCTGCACTCTTCTTGCGACTTCTGCATTGTCCTGAGCATGGTGAGGTCGCCTTCGGACGCAAACGGCTGAAAGTGTCAGTCAAGGACCAGGCGCCTGCCGGTGCACTTCTCCTCCACCGAACATTCGCATGCACAGAGGGCTTCCGAAGCATCATTCCTTCCGCGCGATGGAGTTGCAAGAGTAGAAGTTCGGCAATCGTGCTCTTATAAATGTATGTGTACGGTACTGTATATGTACGTAGCTTCATCCAAACAATATGTAGCGAGCTGTGCTTGCTCTTCTCGGCCATTCGTGTAGGTCGTTATCGACTCGCCCTTGGCCGGCAACACGACCGCAGATGAGTGTACCTGGACTTTGAGCGATGGAATACTCCAAGCCTGGACCTCGGTGGCCTGGAGTGCTTGTAATAATAGTTTTATAATGCATAATATACTAGAATATAATAAAATTTACCTTAATATAGTATAATATGATATACTATATACTAGACTATATACTGCATGCTATACTATTAAGTGCATCCATCATGATTGGCAAGACGAAAAGCAACAAGAGCAAGACCAGGGACAGCGGCCGGAGAAAAACACCGTTGTCAGGTGACTTTGGTAAAGGAAGACGGAGGAGACACCTGGCCACGCTGTCAGTCGCTGACGCGTGCAAATCTTTTGAGTGTTGCATGTCTCTTTCGCATAAAAGGTCGCAGCTCCTGGCAGAAAGCTGACGGCTCCCGCGAGGTTGACCAGTTTTGCACAAACGGCCTTGTACAGCTGGGCATGTTTCGTAGAGAAACTTTAAGCAACATCGAGGCGCTTAAGGCGTACCAGGCGGGTGAAGAAAGAGCAGTTCCGCATCGAACGTTTGTCTGAGTTCGACAAAGTATAGATAGCATAGATGAAGCCCTATATTTATATCCACTCCGAGTGAGTTCTCAGTTGATTGGTTCCGGTTGACAAGGTTCACCTGAAGGCAGTTGGCACCGACTACTCGATCTAATCTCTGCGTCAGTGCAAATTACCTTCTTGGGACGGTGATGCGGCACCATGCAGTAACCACTTGCAAAAACAGGCTGCGCACCAAGCATTTCGGCTTACAGGAAGCGAGGGTAGGGGCCTTCGCACAAGGCTTCTCGAAGAGGAGGCATCGATAACTTTTGCCATGCTCTCATCGAAACGCGAGTGCCAACTCGGCACTGAGCCCTTCTGTGCTCGGTGCTGCAGGGTTCTGCAAGAAGCGTGAGGGAAAGAGGAAGGACGTTTGGAAAGACGGCTTAACTTCTATACTTGGGGCTCGTGGCTTCAGGCCTTGTTGTTCAGCGTTCTGAGAAGCAGAGAGTATCACATCCCTCAAACGGCAAAGCCAGCGTGGGAGCAGAATGCGAGCCAATCTCAGTTTCTCGCTGACTCTGCCCAGCCAATGAGACCGAATCGAATGAGAGAGGGTGAGAGATCACGTGGAGTTGGAGGAAAGACGAGGTCGTAAAGCATACAGAGGAATTGGAGGAGGAGGCACAGGTGCTGTCTGCAGATGCCTGTAACAAGCATGACGCAGTTTGGATAAGACCCGCCGCAAGAACAAACAACCAGCCCACACGAATCACGAAAGCTAGATGCAGAGATTGAAAGCCTAAAGAGGGAGAGAGAGAGAGAGAGAGACAGGTTGAAAGAAACGACATCTCTAATTAGCCATGCGCGCAAGCTCATGCCGGCCAAGGTGAAGAGTCTCAAGAGTGCACAGCCAATGAGATCTTTGTTTTTTGAAAATGTCACCAGGTGGCTGCTTCACATGCAAGCCGACGTCGATGAAAATGAACGGCGTCCAAACCATCCGACTTCCAGTCGCATGTTTGGTAGTACTTCGGAGTTCAAGAAGGAGAATATCTTCTGGTTCTTTACGATATACCCCGAAATTGTATTCTGTGCTTGTCAGACTGAGGAGAAGCAAAGCAAGTCAGGAGGAGGTCTTGGAACCTCCCGCATTCGGGATCGCGACGCAGGCCGTGTATGCAGGAGTGATCGGAAGCTTTCTCTATGGCGACTTGGCCACAAGAAAGCGGCTAGGGTTCAAAGCTTAAGGTTTAGGGTGCCGTGTTTGGAACGTGGTTTACACCCCCCCTCAGCCTTCAGCCTTGAGCAGCAGCTGCAGCTTTGGCGCCCTGAGGCTACATGCTGTGCTACCTGAACTCCTGCAGCACAGATGCAAAAAAGTGAAGAGTTGTCAAGTCTACATTCCTATGCATGAACCAGCAGCAACCAGCAATAACTACCATCTCACCTCCAGGCATGGATTTCATCACCTTAACCTTCGAGTGGTGCAAAAGCTCTCTTGTCTCGGACTGCCTCGAGAGCCGTATCAATTCAGGCTGGGGCGGTTTTGAGCTTCAGCTGTGAAGATCAAGGTTCCTCGCCACATCGCCTTGAAAAACCCCGAGCAGACGGAAGCACGTGCATGTTCTCGACTAGCCGTAACTAGCCGTGCCTCTTGCATACACCGGGGGTTTCTTGTCGGCTGAAGACCTCCCGCAGACTCGGGAGTCCCGGGGGAGGTCTCATTAATGCGATCCTTTACCTCGGAGCTGCTGCGGGTGCCTTGCTCCTCGGGCGGCCCTTCATGTCGCACCAGAGCTACTCGGCCAGCTTCCTCAGGCACTGTGAGTGCAATGACTGCCACGCCTTGCCACGATTGCTACAGCACCAGTAGTGAGTTGTGACACCTTCCAGTAAAGAATGTTTGTCGTCGTGGTCGCTCCTGCTGATGCTGCCGATGCCATCCGATGCCCCTGCTGGTTGTGTTGGTGTTGGTGTTTTTTCGCGTTCGTCGTCGTCGTCGTCGTCGTTGTGGTTGTGGTGGTTGTTTTTGTTGCCGCAGCAGCGGTGGTGGTGGTAGTGGTGGTGGTGCTGCTGCTGCTGCTTCTGCTGCTGGCGGCGGCGCTGGTGCTGGTGGTGACAATGAAGGTGATGATGCTGCTGATGATGGTAAGGCGGAGGGAGACGCCGATGCCGAATAGTTCGTGGATGATTTTGGTGATGATGATGATGATCGACGTTGCTAATGATGAGCCTGCTAGGAGTCATCATCACCATCACCATCATCATCACCATGCCCGCCGGCGTCACCGTCATCATCATGGTGTTAGTAGGGATAACAACATTGAAATCGTTGACACTATGCTTGTTCTTTCTGGACTCTGATTCTGAAGCTGGTTACTCACACAGTGATGGTTATTACCACGGTTGGCCGTACCGTGGTCCAGTCGGTGCTCCACAGGTTCCCGGCAGCAGCTGATCATCTCGGTGTCTGGGAACGCACATCTGCAGCGTTCTGAACTTGGGGTTCCATCGCGGTCACTTGCGCGAATCGGAGCCTACTGCAAACAGAATCCCGAAGGGAGATCTACTTGTTGCTTCCCGCGGATCCGCAAGGATCTCTTCTTCATCGCTGGCGGATTTTTCGGCGCGTTCGCTACTGGAATCAAGTGTCTGCTTGTGTCGCGCATGCTCTCCGGCATCGCCCTGGGAATTTCCGAAACTCGGCACAGATCCAGCGAGTATGGGTTGGTTGGTTACTCAAAAATGCTCAGTGTTTGTGTGCATATATGTATGTGTGTGCACGTGTGATTGAGTAGTCAGCATGTGTTGCGTGCAAGCTTGCTTCAGGCCATTGCAGCCCCAGTGTACATTGCAGAGGCAGGATGGGGAGTGTGTGGCAGAATAAGGGACTGCAGTATGCCTCCGTGCAGCGTCATATTCGATGGGGTGTCTGCACTGAAGGCGGCAAAGCCGCAAAGCCTGTGCCAGGTCTCTCCTGTTGAGCAGCGGGGCCTACATGCCGCCAAGCATGGCCTATACATTGCCGTAGGATTCCTGGCAGCGCTCATCACGAGCCAGCACTGGCAAAAGTCCGAATGCGCGAGCCGTCGAGCCAAGGACTTCTGTGCGCCGAGCTGATAGGGCTCCCACAGGATCCTCCTGGCAACGGCCTAACCGAAGCTGACCCTGCTTAAGGGGCTGCTTACGATACTGTCTGTTCATTCTATCGGCTTGTTCCAGCGAATTAAAGTTTATCTTGCCGACGAGTAAATCCGTGTCGAGGGATGTCCGTGTTTGACATCGCACTTGGCGAGCAACACAGGTCGAATGCTGGAACAGCAGCCTTGCGTCAGCTGTGGTGCATGATAGCGATGTTGATGAGCTCAGGAAACCAACAGATGGTTCTGGCGAGTCATCCTTGGGCTACCGATTTTGGCCGGAGGCGTCTGACAGTGGTGCCATCGCTCGATGCGGACTTTTCCTAACACACCGAGCGACGCAATTCACTTCAGCTGGTCGAAATCACACGACAGTGTGTGCCACTTGGAATGCTGATGCCACCCGATCTTGTGTCGCAGGGTTCCAGTACGTGCTTATGAAGTTCGACCTCCCCATCGACCCGGCATTGTACTTGGTGCGGCAGGCCAGATGTTTGCAGCTGCCTGACATCTTGACAGAAGCTGCATTCCCGCGCAAGGGCCAAATGGAAGAAGCCAGGACGAGTCGTTGCATAGACATTTGCTTTAGTCCCTTTCTCATGGACGTGACCACGGTCGGGAGACAACAATTTCGCAGATTGCGGATTGGATTGAGCAGTCAGAACGTTGCAGAACCATGGAGTGTGCCCTGGAGCGAGGATGATGCTGTACAAAACATATGGGCTGTCAGCACCGGAGTCGCCCCTGGCCGGCAATGATACAGGAAGCTACGGAGTTGAAGTGCGCTCGAGACGAGGTCTGCCGGGCTGGAACAGGTCCGAGTTACAAAGCTCGAGCTGAAGTTGAAGGACCTCGCAGCACCATGGCGAGAAAGCAGCAATTCACCGGCAGCGTCTGTTAGAGGTTTTATATGCGGAACCTAAGCTTTGAGCAACGCCAACTCAGGTCGTTGCAGCAGAGGCCCAGGCCGCCAAGCGGATCACGGTCGTTCAGGTGCACCTCATTATATGCGACATTATGCGACTGCAGCAGCACGTGGTCAACAGGCATGTGAGCACAGTCAGGCGCTTTCAGCAAAGTCCTTGATTTTTGTTGAAAGTGTTGAAAACGAGATAAAACGGAAGAAAGGATAGTCAGGAAAGGCTAAAGCAACTAAAGTCCTAGTGGCAATAAAACGACGTAACAGTGTGGCACAGAAGACGAATCCTTGTGTAGAGGCCAGTCCCAGCTGGCAGCCCTAAGCCTCAAAGGCGTGGCGCCTTAGCCTGCTCAACCCGGCTGGGAGATGCGACGACTCTTGCAGACGCCATAAGGGCCCTCAACAAAAAAGTATGGCGGGTGAAGTGCACGGTCCACCCATGCGCTTGTCTGCTCTTCAGTCGCTCTAAATGTTGAATGCCATCCTAAACTTGAGGGAAGCCGGAGTACCGGAGGGCAGGTGTGCTGCGGGCTGATCTGAAGATTCCGGTGCGGAAGCTCTTGCCTCTCTGCATACCGGGGTGTTGAACCAGTGCATGCCATAGCAGTCAAATAAGCTACGTCGGGAATGCCCAAACTCAGGGTATAACATGCTGGAGTCGCGGAGCTTTTCCTAAGCAGAGACACAAATGCCTGCAATTCAGGGAAAGTGCCCGGGACCGTACAGAGCCAATTCAACATGTTCCGTTGTTCAGACAATGGACCGCATCATATGCTGCAGGCACTGCAAGATCGGTACCTGCGCTGCTCCATAATGGCTCCTTGGACAAAGGGCATAACCTCGCTTCTCAGCGTGCCTGCAGCTCCGAGGTGGGCTTTTTCCTTGCGTCCTACCAGCAGCTGCTTGGTGGAGAATTCTGTTCCGTTGCTTCCATTCCGGCGAGTCGAATCACTTCTTTGTGTTCTGTGCTTGAAAGGCTTACGGGAATTAATGTTGAGGCCTCAGCACGTGCAGCTGCAACGTGAATCTTGCATGTCACAGTGCATGGTATCCAATAGCGAGATCCGGCTGAAGTGAGGCACTTATGGCATACTCTAATGGCCTTTTTGCACAAGCTGGAATTCCCGACAATGACCTTACGCTGGCATCTGTTGGGATGCTTGGATAGCAGCCGGGACAAGGTGCCTAAGTAGGCTCAGCTATCCCTTTCTTAGTTGATGGTTGGCGATTTTGAGCCGAATGGTTCCCGTAACAAACGCTTTGCGTTGCGGGGGTGGATGCCCGATGGATTGAAGAAATGGAGCGGCCGATGCCTACTTCACCAGGTTTCAAACTATCGTCGGCCTCAAGGTACGCAAATCTTGCGCTGCCCCAATCAGGTCCTGCAGACGGTAGAGCACATCATGTGTTCCTTTCAGTGCTGCGAGTTTTCAAGAACGATGCCACAATTCCAAGCCACATACATAACACAAAAAGACACGGGATTCCTCGGCGGATAGAATCATTTAGCTGCCGCATGTGGCCCCTGACCAGTTGGAATCTGTTTGAACGGTATATTGGCAAAGGTTCTGGACCGAAATCACAGCTTTTCCTGCAGTGTGTCCCAAGCATGTCCTCAGCCGCAACCTTCACAGACAGCCGTTATTCTCAGGGGCCTCGAATCGTTTTGCAACTGGCAGCTGCAAAATGGACCACAAGGACAAGGTCCCAGGATCGAACAGTCCGTTGAGGCTCCGGTGTGTTTTGTTCCCGGCGCGGATGCGCTGAAGCACGCTGCAGAGGCCCACTCAACAGGCGTAGTTTAAATGCATTAACAACTTCTGCTTCGCGAAGCTTTCAGAAAGGTTTCCGGCAAGAAGCAGTGCTTTATTTGTAAAGTGGCTGGAGATTGCAGGAATGTAGGAGTGGGAAGTCCCAAGCTGAAACAGGTCTCAAGCCAATGTCGGTGAATGGTCCGGGGTCCAGTCGCAGCAGTTCATACAAGTAAATTTGAAGCGGTGTTCGCCCTGTGCTCACCTATCCGTCTTAGTTGAAGGCCCTGGTGTGGCTTCTCGCCTGTCGAAAGAAGTGGGCACACATGTCCCAATGTCTCGAAAGTGTGTGGCGCCGGCATAATCTGGCGTTTAAGTTGACGATCTTGTCTGCGTGACTCAGCTTTTCATTGCCACCTTGACATGAGAAGAAATGCGCTCGCGGACGTTTTGCGCTTAGGATGTGCATCGCCAACGTGCTCGTCTCTGCTGCATGGAAGAAGTTTACACCGGACCACGTGAAGTCCATTTTCTGGAAAGGCTCTGCAGACTCAGGTTTGGAGCACCCAGCTCGTGGATAACATGGGCCGGCGTTCCTTACTGCTCTACGGCTGCGTCACCCAGAGCCTAGCCATGGTGACTTGGCTCGGAGCTTCCAGGAGAGGTCTTCGGCCCTGCGATGGCACTCAGGCATCTATGGTGTACGTGGTGCAGTTCTTGCATCCTGTCAGACATCGTTCAGATTTGCGCAGACGGCAGGGTCTACTCGTTTTTGGCACGAACTTTCGCAGTTCAATCCGGAAATCCTAACGTTTGCACATCGCATATCACTTAGACTTGGAACGGCCTCCTGAGGCCTCTGGTGGTGCAGGGAATTAGCGCCTTCATCTTTTTCAGCCCCGAGCTCAGAGATTCTCGGAGTGCAGAGCCGGAAGACGACGGAGAAACGAAGCAAAAAGCAAATCCCAGAAGTGTCAGAAGGAGTGAGTCTAAGACTGTCTGGTGCTTAGTAGGGAATGGGGGAATGGATCCCTATGATAATCCCTTAAGGTCCCTTATAGTAGTCCCTACAACCCATTCCCCCATTCCCTACTAAGCACCAGACAGAAGAGCAAAGAGCCTGTTTCCTCCAGGCTTCTTCGTGGTCTCCTGGAACTTCGGACTCGGAGCCATCACGTGGCTATGGCTCTCGGAGATTTACCCGTCGGAAATTAGAGGAACTGCAGCAACTTCTCTGTTTCGAGTCTACGGTCTACGACATTCTACGGTGGCGCCTCGCAAGGACCTGCGCTTTCCGCATGCGGAGTCATCAAGTGGCTGAGTTGCTTCTTCGTGGTGCTGATCGCACGGTTCCTGCATCACGGCTACACATATCTATGTCCCAGGAATCGAGTAGCTGAGGCAAAGACAGGCTGACAGATGGAATCTCCGCATCTTCCGCTAGGTATCTTTCCTTGTCCTCCGAAGCATGACAACAGAAGTTCGAGCCTTGACCATTAAGCTCCGCCACTGAGGAACCTGCATTCGTCGTGCTTGCTGTTCGGTACCAGCCTGAGATCGCGATGCAGCGCTTACCCAAATTCAGCAAGTCGGGAATCCTTGTATGATTACACGACCTGAACAGAGTCTACTGATAGGTTGCTGCTGAGAGGGCTAGAATATTCCAGAATCCTCAGCATCTTGCTGCAGCCGCTTCGTCAATACATGGCGTCCTGCAGCGAGATGTAGCACATAAGCAGGAGAGCAACCTGTTCCGAAGCAGCGTGGGTGCAGGGTCTCAAAGTGCCTGGAAGACCCTGCCATCCCCAAGTCGGGGTGGCTTCGCAGGTTCACCACAATTCACATAGAGTGCCCACCGATTTAATCTCGCTTGCCGAGCCATGGCAATGCATGCTTTGCGGGCCCCATCCAGTCCACTGCTGGCCTCTGGGGCACATGAAGTTCTGGGCAGGCCAATAAGGCATGCGCTCAAGCAGCCGCTTTCAGCTGAGGCTTCGCGGGACCCCCTTCGTTTCAGGATGGATTGGAATGATTTCTGGGGGTTTGCTGCAAGAGTTTTTCGCGAAGTCCGGAGGCGGCGTTTCGCTGGGCAGTGGTTGGATGCAGCTGCATCTCACTCCGACCTCGCTTGATACAAGGCCGACGAAGCTGCATGCAGGTGCGACAAACAAAGGAGAAGGGTTGACAAGCTGCCGTTGCCTCTGAGCCATGCACATGCTTAGTGCCTCATGTGATTCATGATCATGATTTAATCTTGCTGATTCCAAGAAGATCAGTGTTTTACACTGCTAGCTGCCACAGAGAGCCTCCGAACTTAGAGCATGCCTGCTGCTGCTACTACGTACTTGCTGCGTCTGCTGCTCCTCCTTCTCCTCCTCATGCTACTACCAATACACTCATTTGTATAACCACTTGTGCTCTATCATGTTGATGTGGACTGCCACTACAGCTTCCCCTGCAACTGCGGCCGCTGCTGCGCAGCTACTGACAGACGTTGAGTGTGCTTGCTGCACAATAAGGATGAAACAGTCGGGACGTTTGATTCTGCTTCCAGCTCGCTGTGTCGTCTCGTGGAAAAGTCAGCATGTGTGTTACACTTAGCGATTCCGCCTGCAAAGCAAGAAACTCGGCAGCTCTTTCTAGCCTTCTCATCCACGAGTGCAAACCACCACGATGCCACAGGTGGTTAGGCCAATCATTGCTGGCCCACCCTCCCTATCCGAGCACCAGGAGACAGAAGAGGAACGACAGCGACTGGACCAGGAAGCACGCGAGGGCATGCAAGAGTACATGAAGCTCATACAGGACATCTGGCCAGTCTGAGCAGCTTGCCATGCTAAGTCACATGGCAAGAAGCGGCAGTGTGCTTGCGCAGTCTTAGCACAGGAGCTAGCGGAGGGTGGGAACATCCGTGCCCAAAAAACCGCCTCTTGGACGGCATGTTTTCTATATGGTGTATGTGGGTTGCAAGCACAAAGTACAGTGTTTCCCGGGCATTTTGTTTCGGTCAAGTACTGCTTCAGGCATGGAAATGGGACATACGGCAACGTGTGTGGAATTTCTTGGAAGACAATGACCTGGCCGATTTTCCGCGACCTGTTCATCATCGCATCCCGAACTTTCAGGGCTCTGCGCGAGCTGGGGAGCGCCTGGCGGAGCTGCCTGAGTTCATTGACGCGAAGATCGTGAAAGTGAACCCAGACACGCCACAGAAGTCTGTTCGAGTCGCAGCGCTGCGCTCCCGGAAGATCCTCTATGTACCTCAGCCACGTCTCAGGACAGGCTTCTTTTCACGGATTGAGCCTGGAACTGTCCCACCTGACAAGTACAACTTTGCAGCAACGGCACGTCGGGAGCTCAGCATCGGGTTTGGAAGCTCTCTTGCAAAACATCCTCGCGCCGTTGAATTGAAGTTGCTCGGTTACAGCGCGCTGTGCTTAAGGCTTAGTATGAGAGCGTGACAGTTAGCACCGCGGGCTTGCCAAGGCGGAATGAAGCAGCTTGCAGACCCCATGGACTTGGATGATAAGACAAAGATCGACGTTGTAGTCGTGGGGTCGTCAGCTGTGCATCCTGAATCAGGAATCCGTGTTGGCAAGGGTGAAGGCTTCGCAGAGTTGGAGTATGGCATCATGCGCCAGCTAGGCATGATCGATGATCTTGGCTCTGGTTTGGACATGTTTCATAGTGAAGTACTGCGTGACGGTCTTTATTGTCTGTGATTTAGTGTCACTTCTCTGTTGCAGGGTCAGTAGCTGGGGGTTTAGTTTGTTTTGTCTGCAGACCACCTGTTAAGTCATTCGTGCGAGACATGAAGACGATGATCCACTGAGGAATCAACGCCGATCATCACCACTGTGCATGATAGCCAAGTTATCACTGATGACTTCCCGCCTAAGGGCAAGGGCATGATGAAGCACGATGTGCCAGTGGACATTATTGTCACACCCACTCAGACCATTTACGTGGACAAGGCGAAGCAGCCCAGCAAGCCAAAGGGCATTTACTGGGATTTGTTGTCTCGAGAGAAGTTGGCGACCATCCGGGTCTTACAGGACTTGAAAGCGCGAATCGAGAACCAGACCGGTATACAGCTGGAGCTGGCGGAGCAGGAGGAGGCTCTGCCTCCGCTGGCGAAGCGCGGGTCTCCCCGAAAGAACGCGCCTCCAAAGAAGCCCCAAACCAAGGAGAAGGAGAAGGAGACCGTGGCCCAGACCCCTGGGCTCAAGGGTCGGCTCCGCAGGCCCGAGTGATGTCATGCAAGCCGAGCTGAGCGTTGAGCCGGGGCCACACCGCCATGCGCCCGAGACCTGCCGAGAGGTGAAGTAAAAAGTTTAAAGGTCATGCGCAACCGATGTGTTCTTTCTGACTTCCTGCACTCGCCATTCTGTGGATGCTAGAAGTATGCTCGGTGTCTCTGCACACAGTGGGCATGTACCATGGGCATATGTGCCAGCAAGGTTCCGTGAGTGCCCTGGGCGTGCTCGGAATTTACCTCTGGGTCCTGGAGACCAAAGGCTGCGACATGGAGGACAGTCCAATGACGCGACTGGGTCTGATCCAAGAAGTTTTTCTCAACCCAATCGGACTTGGGAACCCTTAGCAGGTAGCACAGATCATGGGAGCAGATTGTCAATATGAATCCCTTGAAAGGTTGCCTTGATACCAACGGTGTCGACAAAATGCAGCTAAGGCCGCGGAGTGAGAGATCGAGCTCAAGTTTACTGGGAGGAGGCACTTCTCCTGCCAGTCTCCTGGATGCTATATCTTGAGCAGCATGCTGCAGTCTCATATATATATATATGGAAATGATATGCACATATATATATATATATATATATGTATGTGTATGTATTAGGGACCCAAAAAGCACATAAGCAGAAGCTTTTTATAGGGATATCCCTACCTTATTGGGCTTCATTATAAGGGTTTTATATGGGATATCCGGATCCTAATTTTTGCTTATGTGCTTTTTTGGGGCCCTAATGTATGCTCACCCCCCCACCCGGCGACAGACCATCGCAGGAAAAATACAGACATGGCTAACCTCGAAGAAGCTTAAGAGTGCTTTCATTGTGTCGAAAATTTCAGGTTATGTCTCGAGCCTATCGTGCAGCTTGCACTTAACCTCAATGGCGAATTCAACCATCCGTTCGGCAACATTTTGTGCTAGGATTGTCCAAAAATTGTGATGACCTTCTCCCATTTGTCTTGTACGAACATTCATATTGCTCAGTAACCTGTGCGTGAAGATGTCAGTATGGGAAGATCACTTCACTGATTGTTTTAGTCTTGTTATTCAGCGCCGAGCTTTCCTCTTTGTGTGAAGCCTTCACTATGGGAGAGCTCGAACTAATCGAAAATTGGTAATTCACGCCTGTACACTTAAAGCAGCCGATAAGCCAATATGCTGGCTTGAGTTATGCACTTCGTAACATAAACATGTAAGATACCGACTTATGTGTGCTTTGTGTTTGCATGGGGGGGTCCCTAATTGTTATCTTTATCAGGTGCTTACAGTGCAGACCTCTGATCAATACGATAAAAGAAGTCCACAACACAAGTGTGGCATACATGATTGCTTAATGGTCATCATTTGCTAGGTGTTACATTTTTCACTGAGTTTGCATAAAAGACAACGCCCAGTTCGACCAGCGAAGGAATGGACATGGCTTCCTGCAACTCATTCACAGACTTCAGTTGCAATAACCTCAGAATGAGCATGTAAAGGTTTGTTGGTATAGGGACAAGATATCAAGAACCAACCTGCTGAATGCAGAATTTTGCTCTCAACAATACCAATCCTCCAGCTTCAACGTATTACCGGCCTCGCGCATCGTTCTATTAGTGCACAGGTGTGAAGGTTCAGGGACTATGACTTGCCAAGTACATACTAATCAGCAGGTGAATACAGACAGGACTCAACAGCAACTGTTACAAGTACCTGATAATGTTGGTTTGCTTGAAATAACGTGAATACCATCTGTTGAACAGTGCCCGATTACTCATAGCTAATCGCACACGAGTGACTAGCCCAGAAAATGCAAATTGGAACAAATAAGACATGAAGAGGTACAGAGTGTTCTCCTTGGGTTAGCAATACCTAAGGAAGCAGAACGGCAACTCTAACCACAGTAACAAGGATATTGGTAACGGTAACTATAACATCGGGAAACGTAATCGTAAGAACACACCGACCGCGCTTGATACGATAATTCGTGCATAGCAGAATGAGTTTGGTATGTAGGTGACTGAGAATGGAAGTGGGGATTGGATAGGCTTGTAGGTGTATGACGATAATAGTTCCAGTACACGTACCGACATTTGCAAGTATATCAGTGGGTCACGAGCTGCTACAAAAACTGCTATTGCCGAAATGTATTGTTCTTTTGACAGATACACTTGCAATTTTAATGTAATTGTGCTACGATTACAGCTATACCGGAATTTATCTGGCAATACAGCTGGCGTTGCACATACGACTGTATCAAGCAATGTAGTAATGGGCTATTGTTAAGTTAATGGTAAAAAGAATGCAAAACAAATGGAAGGTTGTAAACGTATAACGACTATATTTCCCGTACACATACTGATATCTGCAGATATGGTAGTGGATCACAAACTGCTACGAACAGCTTATTGCCGAAATTTATTGTTCTTTTGACAAATACACTTACAATGTTAATGTAATGGTGTTAAGGTTACAGCTATACCAACATTTATCTATTGTCGCAAGGATATGGCTATTTCCAACTATATGGTTGATGAATGATACTTCTGCGAGATCTGTTGCAGTTGTTACTCATGTGTGAGGCTTAGTAGTCTCGGTTGCACGTGGGCATGTTTCAGCACAAGAACTGAATGAACTACTTAGTTCTGAACGACTACAGGTACCAGAGTATTCAATAACAGAATGTTGCCAAGCACTTGTAGGCCAAACCTGAAAGGAACCGTATAGATACTTTGGTATAGGGTTTAAGGTTTAGGGTTGTGGTATGGGGATCTCCGGCAACAGCGCAAGCGCGCAACACGAAAGACAAAGCACGAGACCAAACAAACAAACGAAAACCACAGATCGGAACGGTTTGTTTTTTTGTTTGTTTGACGTGCCAATTACCCATAGCAGTCGGAACACCAAAACCAAAGGACTAAACAACAACAAAAGCAATGAAAAAGACGTTCCTGCAATGTCTCTGGATCTTTGGTTTTTTGGTTTTGGTCTCAGGCCGGGGGCTTGAAGCCACACGAATACAGACCAGCAACGACACACACATGTCAATGCAGTTCCGGCATTGTCTGCGGATCTTTGTCGTTTTTTGCGGTTTTTCGTTTAAATAACAGGGCTTGAATCCCGAACCCACGAAAAGGCCGGAATCGCCGGTGGGAGCGGGGTTGTAAAAGGGTGTGGTCTGTCATGGGGGGGTGGGGTGTGACCATATATATATATATATACATACATGCATACGTACATATAAAAATGATATATTTGTGTGTGTGTGTGTGTGCGTGTGTGTCTGTTTGTGGGGGACTTGTGCGTGAGCATATTGTAGTAAGTTGTTTCATACTATGTTACATGGTACCATATTGTACTAAATCCAAGGTCCGCGTCAGGAGCAGTTCCTTGGCAGAGCAAATCGTGGACTAGAATTGGCATTCAGATGGTTTGTGAAGTTGTGGGACATGTCTCGCAAAATTACATAGCACAATGCAGTCTAGTAGAGTAAATAGTATAGTACAGGATACTAGGGAGAAACATTCGGAGTTGATTGCACGCCAAGCAAAGCCGTTCTGTGTCATCTCCGATGTGGATTTCTGAATGGTTTACAACTGCAAATATGATGGGGTGTTGCTGCTGAGCACTACGGGGAAACGGTGGGTCTCTTTCGCAGAATTATGGCATCATGGCCATCGTTTTGCAACTTGTGCTCGTGCTTGCCATCGTGATCTCTCTGTCCGCTGAGTTTGATGGGCGTGGCAGAACGTGAAGAGGAAGAAGAGGACGAGGAAGAAACAGCAGTTCCGAGGGTCTACCAGCAGGTGCATAAGGGTCGAAAGTAGAGAGATCGAGAGTCTCACGAAGCTCGAAGCCTGACATCCCGTGGCCGTGGCGCAGGTCGATTGATGCAAGATGATGCAATGTAGAATATAGAAGACGAAGTGAAGTCTGGCCAAGTTCTGCGCCGCAAATGCTGTGACTCTTTGAAGCCAGCATCCGTTTCTCTCTGTGGACGCTTGACCCTCGTCAGCTACCCTTCCATGTCTGAGCTTGTTGAGCTGGGTAAAAGTCCAGTTGGCTATGGACAACCAAAGCCAGAGAAGATCGACATGGAAAAAAAAGAAGATTCAGCCGAGTTAGTTGCACAGTTAAGGGGCTGGGCATGGCAGTCCTTCCAGAGTCTGGAGCTGTTCAGTAAGAGGTGCTTGCTGCTTAGAGATCCAACCACGATGCTCCCTAATGCTACAACATCTGGATGCTGGGAGCAACAAACAACACCAGAAAGGGAGAAGCTGCATATTAAAGTATCAAAAGGGTTGAGCTCGCAGACATATTTCAGCGCATCTTGCGCCACTGGCGGTGTCGAGCCAGATCGATCCCGTAGAGAGCATGGCATGCACTGTCTCGCCTTTGTTGGCTCAAGTTGTTGAGGTCAAGGAGACAAGTCAGAAGTTAGGGGCGGCACTGTTCTACTGTAGGGTTAGAGTGGTGGGATATGTCTAGAAGCTAAGCCAGAGACTGTACACACCTCAAGCTCGAGGCGTAGGGGAGCCCATAGGCAAACGCTTCCTGCGGCCCTGTGAAGACCGCCGGGCTGGAGGCGATGAGGATCACTCGAGATGGCGTGACTTGGTGTTCTTTTCTGGTGCCCTTTTGTGCTGGACTCATGCCGGGTTCTGACATGGCCTGACCGAAGTCACTTTCCAAGGTGGAGGATACGCTCCTTTATGAAATCATGTGGCTTTGCAGAAGTTGAAGTTCCGTCACGCCAGCCTGTCCGGCCGGCAACGCTGTAGCTTCAAAACCACAGCAAGCTTCGACAACCGAGGTATTTCTCGCCTGTTGAGCTGGGAGATGAGCGCTACACAAACAAGCCCTTCGGCCCGGGAAATGCTTCTCAAGTGAGGGACAGGTATAGCTGATTCTATTCAGTGCGGCAGCGTGACAAACACGCTTACAGCCTCCGAAGCACGCACATTCTAGCTGGATGGCTAGAGTCTGTCCAAGTCAGGTTGTACTTCCAGACGGAAGCTCGGCAGCAGAGATCCCCCATATTGCGGCAATAGCGACTGTCATGCTTCCCGCTGCATCTCAGGAGATCTACCACCGGAAGTGGCCGACCTTAATGGCCGACCGTATGGCTCACCAAATAGAGAAGCACCGTGGCAGCAGGCTGTTCCCAGGGATCCTTGGAGGAATTTTGTCGTCGACCTCAGGCTGAAGCATTGTGAGATGGGCATCGTCGCGTTCGACGACGAGTTCAAGCAGAACCACAGAGAGGCCCACGGCAATCTTTCACTGTTTTTCCAGCTGCGACTGAACGGCAGGCTAGTGAGCACCGAAGCACTGAGAAGTCTAGAATGTAGACTCTGCCTGAGGATGCTGCAGAGTAGATGTTTCAAGCCTGCTACAGGCGGTCCTCACCCACTGCAAGATGGCGTTGGCTTACCTCGACGCACGCGAGGCCCGCATCGCGATGAAGTTGTGCGAGCCCCCTGGCGCAAACTTGTGAGCTTTTCCAACTCGTGCTTCCGAAAACAGATTGCCCTTGGAATCTGAAGTCGCTTTGCAAATGAAATGACCTGAAAAACTGGAATCTGAGCTCGCGATGCCATCTTGTCCTCAGTGGGCCCAGGCAGTGCATCCCAGCCACAAAGTCGAGCGAGCCGCGGCTTCAGACGGACCCTGATGCAGACTTCGACTTCATGAGGCCTCCGTTACTTCTAGCGCCCTGCTTCGACTTCTGTGTTTGTTGGCATTACAAGCCTTGTTGGCACTACTACGAATGCCCTGGTGCCACTTTGGTCATGAACCCGTGGTGATGCCCATACTGCGAAGAAGGAGATTCAGCGGGGCACCCGTGATCACTCCCTGACGACGATCGCCGGTCCTGCTGTATAAGTTATGACGCCCTTGCTTATGTTGGTTGTTATCCTTAATCACATCTTGCTAGCATTCTTGTTCCTAGCATGTCCGCGGCTACTGTCACCATTTTCGAAGTTGTCGGTTTCGCCGGTCGTCTTGTCGATATCATCATCGCTGTTGTTGTTCTTGTTCGAGAAGCACAGGGCAGTGGAGACCTCTCTCCGGTCCAGGATCATTGCCCTCTCGGTGCTGGCCTGCGCCGCGCGAAGGATCAAGTTCTTTCAGAAGGCCAGTCGCAGTCGCAGTAACGCTTTGTGCCCAACTGCAACATACCAAGAAACCCAGCAAGTTCGACAGTGTTCTAGTCTCAGTACTCGCAGTTGCAAGAAAGGTCTCATCGCCACGGCTAGCTTCGTCTAGGCTATAGCGCAGTACCAGTGCCGACAGTGGTGTTGAAGTTTTTGTTGCTGAAGCTGCCTGTGGTAGTATTGTCGTTACACTGCAGTGGTTCTTACCACCTTCCCCCTTCCTTATTTACAGTTTATAGGTCTGTTCTTCTATTCGGGGTACTGTCTCTGCTGTTGGTATAGTTGTTGCAGTCGCTGTGGTGGCTGTCACTCCTGTTGGCGTGGTTGTTCTTCTTGCTGGCGACGGTGCGCGGCGTGTTGCTTCTACTCTTGCTGCAGCTGTTGTCATTTATCTTTTTAGTTATTGTCGTTCTTGGTGTTGCTGTTGAAGCTGTTGTTGCTGCTGATGCGATTGTGATTGTTCTTGTCGTCGCGCGTGGTGGTGCTGGTGCTGGTGCTGGTGATTGTGGCTGTGGTTGCTGCTGCTGTTGTTATTGTTGCTGCTGTTGTTGTCGTTGTCGTTGTTGACCGTCGGTTTCCTCATTGTTCCTGTTTATCTTCTTGTCGTAGGTCATCGACATCGCCTGGAGAGTGTTTGCGGTTGTCATGTCTGGTCCGTTGCTAGAGACAGTAGGATGAGCACGGCGAAACTGGAGTTCCGAGGCCATCGATGCTCTTGGAGAAGCACCACGGATGCAAAAGGGGCACGCACGGCCTGTAAAGAAGGGGCTTGCGGGAGTCTTTCCGCAGGCTGTCTGCGAAGAGACCTGCATTTTCTGGATCTGGGACTAAGAATTCATCTTAATCTGAAGTCCGGCTACTACATGTACTAGACGCCCAGCGCCTCAGTTGGTGCATGGGTCGCCTGAATAGCGAGGCAAAGAGCCTCTGCCTTGCCGGGGGAGATACCGTGCAGCAGCATCCCTTGCTCATTGCCCCTCGGTCAGAAGGAAGTCTAAGTAGAGGTCCGATGCCTCGTCTGAAGCTTTCAGTGTACTGTCGTGGGCATCCGAGCTAAGGCTCTGACGCTTCTGAACCTTTCAGCAGTTCTGGGTGATATCGACCACGACGAGCATGGCTTGCGCTGGGGCTTGGAGGCCGTCTGCTCTCACCAGGGGCATCCTCAAGATGGGCCTTTTGCGTCAGGCCTTGGGTCTGATGTACAATGTCTTCTCAAACGTCGAACTTCCCGAGATGGTCCAGGAGACGCGTTCGGTCAGTTCAGTCGCATAATCGCTGCTTGGCCCGAGCTCGAAAGAGAGGCCTACTATCTGGCCCTGGCCTGCCACAATGCTGCGCTGCTGGATGTGAAGCTGGGTCGCTGGGCAGAAGCGCAGGAGTCCAACAGATTCGTGCGCACTGCACCACCGGAACGTGACGATACGTGGACAGCTGAATAGGAGCTGGCGGACGAAGGCATCGAGTTCACCAAGGCCTGCGCCCAGCTACGTAGATTCTCGAGTTGTTGATCAGAGGTGTAGAGGTTGTTGATGGATACTTGTACTACGCAAACTTGCAGAACTGCTCAGTTTTTTAGTTCGTGAGAAGACGACTTTGACACTGCGTGACTGCTTGTCTTGTCCAACATGGGCGCGTCTACGGGTCCAGGGCCTTCCTGACGACGGCGTATGTCCTTGCGCTTGTGCAGTGCAAACTCGTTCTCGCCGATCGAGCACTCCTCAGGATGGCCTGCTTCAGCGTTGCAGCTGCTTGCCAGCCAGGTGCTTGGCGAGAACGATGACCACTTGAGAAGCAAGCTCATCAGCATAGGCACGATGCATCGGGGGAAAAGGGCTGCAGCTGCAAGGTCAGATTGGGCGGTTGCATGTATCTCGTGCTAGGCAAACCTTCTCTGTTGATGTTGCAAGCTGCGCTTGCATGTACCCTACCAGCCCTGCCAGGTGCCCAAGCCAAGCACGTGCCAGAGGGTTTCTTGTCAGAGGCGGTGAATGCTCTAAACGGCTGGGGAGAGGAGCTGCTTTGGGACCAAGCTTCAGACCCTTTATATACCTGCGGTTTTTTCTGCTTTTCCAGGAGCGGGGCGTCTGGAACCTGAGCTTCTGGGACTTCAGTATGCCAGAGATCCAGGAAGTCATCAGGCACGTGCCTTTTTGGCTTTACGGCAACCATGGATTTTCTGCCACTGGCCTTCCAAGCAGGGTTCTGGAGAGCACCGTGACCCTGAACAAGCTCGTCATGGACGCTCGTCTGCGTTTGGTCTTGAGGCCGCGGCGTGCCACTCATGCACCGAAGAGTTCACTCGTTCGAGCACCAAGGATCAAAAAGATGATGACAGGCGGGATCATGAGACTAAGAGTTCGTGGCAAAGCAGATGCAGACGCACCGGGTAGTGCCTGTGCTGCGCCAATCCGGAACTGAACTCATGTACTTCGATCCGAAGTGAAGGCGCTACGAGCTTTCGCTTGAAAATCGCAACCTGGTGCAGCTGATGATGGCGGTGTGGGTCCTCAGTTGTGATTTGCTCACGTCAGGCTGGAACTGCAGATCTACAGGCACAAATGCAATGAAAGTACAAGCATGCTCGATGAGCGCCCGAAATGGATGAAAGGCTTCCAGGTTTGGTGCTCAAAAAAAGCCGCACGTTTGGCAAGCAGACTTTGCCAGCCTTCACAAGGAGCTGTTCATGTTCCAGCTGCTGTCACAACATCTCCGCTCATAATTTCCTTTCACCCTTCATATTTCTAGCATCTGATGGCCCTCAAAGAACCCTCTGAGCCTCCAGCGGAGAGAGATGCATCTGAGGTTGTGAGCTGCCACTGCTTGGAAACCGTCACCATCTCAGGACGAGGGATCCGAGGTTTCAGGCTGGGTTTAAGGGGTTTTTGGTTTCGGTAAGACGGAGCTCATTGCAAGCTCAAAAGCATGTGCACGTGACGTTGATGCACGAATACCTTCATATCGCTTGGATCGATGCGTCTCTCAAACCTCCGTTCGGGCTTTGGGGATGACGATGCATTCAGAGAGCGAAGCACACTCGCAGGAACTGATTATCGTCCGAGAAAGGCAAGGGTCTCGCCGCGTGTTTGCTCACATTTCTGCACACTGCTATCTTGGCTGTAGTGCGAGGCTCTGCGAATGATTCTTTCGGGTAGGTGTGGAGGCGTGTGAAGAGGCGTGGCTTCTTGGAGACTTCCTGGTATGTGCAGACCTCGGATGGGCTGCTTCCAGAACTCTGCGTGTCGTCGTCATTTTTGAGCATTCAGAATGACAACTTTGATCACATCTCACAGTGGCACAAGGCCTCTGCCCTTAACTTTTCGGATGTGTGGGGCGGCGGCTCTCAAATGCCGGAGACTGGCAGGGCTCCAAGGATGTGACTTGTGACTGTCGGTCCGGTCTTCCAGATTTCGCGAAGTGCTGTTTAGTTCTGCTAGAAGGCAAGGCAGAACGTCAAGCGCGCTGAGGCCCCTATCAAGGGCTCATCGCAGACATCAACCACTTCTCCAAGAGGCCAGGGATAAGAAGCTTAGTGACAGCCATAGCCGGCTCTATTGCGCTTTCTCACCTGCAAGTGGGTGGAACTTCAGGGTTTCAAAGAGACATGAAAGTTACTCCATGCAACGATCACTATGTGGTCGTAAGACAAGAAGACAGCCCACACAACCACGAAGGCTAGTCATGGCTCTGCTCATCGTTGCGAACGAGTGATGAGCTGAGGAAGAAGGAAAAACATCCCCCATCGGCCCTGGCAGGAGCTACAAGTGGGGGTTTCCGAAAATAGGGGACCCTAATATAGTACCCTAAATAATAGGATCCTTATTATAAGGACCCCAAAATACGGTACCCTAATTTTGGGAAACTCCCAAGTAACAGCGTGTCCTTTTTCAACCAAGGACAGATGGAATCGACCTGTCAGACAATGGCACAATCCTTGGCTCAGGAAGCGTTGTACAGCGGGCCTGCGCCCCGAAATGCCGCTACTGAGGCATCAATGCTGTGAGCGTCAGCATGCTGGCTGATGCACTGAACCATCCGGAGAGGCAGGACGTCCGGCGCGTGGTCGATTGGGAGAAGACACATATAAATTTACTACCTGGTTGCCTGACTTGTTAAGCAGCTGGTTGGCTAGTTCAACAACTTCATCACACAATGAGGTATGCTGTACTCAGGCAGCCAGTCTGCTAGCGCCAACTATGAGCTATTGCATGAACATTGAGCAAAAGACCAGACGCGTACACCCCAGCACGGTTCGTGAAAGTGTACCTATGTACAGAAGCAGTCCAGTAGCTTCGGAAATCCATCTTGGAGGCTGTCACGCACACGCGCGTGCCGGTCTCTCGTGTTGCGGAACAATGCGACTTGGCTCTCTTTAGGATCTACGGAAAGGTTTCAGGACCCACGATCTATTGAAAAGTTTCAGCACCCACCCTGTCTCGTCTCGACCACCCATTTGGAGCAAAAGCTTTCCATCCTCTCGCATCTGGCACCGACTCCCCAGGTGACTCCAAGGACTGGAGTCCTTTTTCTGCTCATATTGTCATATCATACTGTATAGATTCAGATATGTTCTGGAGCCTATAGACTCTCTCTCTCTCTCTCTCTAATTTGAGCTCCCCCCACCTGCGGCTGGCTAGAACCGTGTTGCCATGGAGGGCTTATTGGGGCTAGATCTGAAGTCTTCCGACGTCTTTCGGCAGCTTTTCGGTAGATCAACCGGCCACCGATGCTGGCTGCAGGACTTCTTTTGATCCTTTCTCATAAATGTGATGTTGGTTTCAACGAGGTCTCTGTCTCAGGATTCCTTGCACAGCTTGGGCAGCATTGACACGCAGATTCTTCTGGGTCCAGCTCCTTTCATGGGCTTTTGTGCTGTGTGCTATAGATATTTTGGACTCGTTAGCAACGTCGCTTGGGAGTCCGGTTCCTCTCATGGGCCAATTGGCATGTCGTTGGGTTCTCGAAATTCACGTATCACGTATCTGAGTGCATGTCGTCTGTCCCTCCAAGTCCTGTGCCGCCAGCTCTGTCCATTGTTGAGCTTTCGTTCCAGCCCGTGGTTTTCGAGTATGTATATATGTTGAGATGATGCACGCGCCCCCGGTGCCCAGGACCTGGACCCAGCAGCGGCCGGGCACTCATTTGGACAACAGAGTTGCTCGAAGCTCGTTGAACAAGTTCTCCTCATTTGTATCTGTGTTCTGAGTGCTCCGACTACTGCTGCGCTGTTTCGGCAATTAGGAAGCACCCTGCTCCTTGCAAGTCTGGCTGGGCCCGGAGAGAAGGACAAAGAGAAGAAGCGAGTTTGCAGGAAGTTGAAGCGATTAGTGAGTGGGGTCCCCCGGGCTTTCGAGCGTAGAACAACCCCTTGAGGCTTCCGTTCTTGCGAGAATTTGGCCGGAGCCTTACTCGTAGAGCCAGAAGTTCACGATTTGCAGTCAACAGTCATCATGATGCGATATCAGGGCTAGCAGCTAGCATATTTTCACTGACGTACCTCCCACATCGCGGCTGCCTCACTGAAATGGCTTGCGGATGTTGGCCTGGACTTTTGGTTTTTGAGTTGTTGAATGGTTGCATGTGCTGCGAGAAAGGGACTCGGTGCAGCAGCACGACGAGGGCAAGGCAAGGAATCGCAGAGCCATGAGCAGCCAGTGAGCAGGTAGACATTGCGACCTGCGTCCGAGGAAAGTGTATATGTTAGATAGCTATGCTCATGGTGACGAGGATGACCAGTATCATCATCATCGTGTCATTTCACAGGAGACCCCAGACACCGACGGCGACGGCTTCGAGGATGAGGACGAGGCCATGCTAGGAAGCGTGTGACTCTTTCCACAGGAGTGTTCTCCGCTTCCAGGAATATGATCCCGATGCGGACCCTGAGAGGGAGGTGCGGCCGAGCTAGCTCGAGGGTAGGGGCAAGCGACGACACGCTCCTGCGAGCAGTTGCAGGGGCATGCAGGGCTGCATGAAGTAAATTTAGAGGCTTCAGACAGGGTTTGGCCGGTGCAGCTTTCGGGACATTCTGTAACTATCACCGTCTCAGCACTGCCGCTTTGCAGAACGAGACCCTGGGCGTCACCTCTCTGGATGTGTGCGGGGCACAGCTTCCATGTCTCAATGCGATACGATCCTAAGAAGGTTCTCCCTTGTCATGTTGGATCTTTAGCCACCCTTTCAAACGAGTACTCGTAGCAGGCGGTACAGCGATGTTTCGTGTGATATGATGCATGTAGCCCGGCATCGTTGGCGCGTGCTGGCGTTTGCAGAGTCGGAAGCCACGATATCCCACGGAGATTCCGGAGCACCCCATGACCACTTCGAAGCAAACTACGCGGATCGGCCAGATGATGCAGTTGCAGGGAAAGCCTTTCTTTTGGACTTAGTGAACATTCATTGTCGGACCGCTCCTTGAGTTAGAGTAAGCTCAAAAGCCCAAAGCTGTCAGAAAATCTAGGCGCTAACTTAACTGTTCTTATGCGTCGTTACAGCACTTGATCTGCGACCACTTGGCGCGGGAGGTCGCAGAACACGAACATCGGCGATGAAGGCAGCGTTTGCAGAGCATGATTACTACAATGATTACACAGATAGGAGAGGTGCGATCCGTCCCTTCCAATCCATGACCACTGTCTGTTGAGGCTTTAACGACCTTATCCAGGGGATGTCTCGCTATCGCCGCTTCCAGGCAAGCTCCAGTCATGGCCGTTGCCCCTTTGCCGTCAGTATTGGTTGCTGCAACTGCTGACCTTGATGAGTGTGAGGGTGCTACGGGTGTGATGGTTGTGATGATCGAGATGGAAGTGAAGTACAGAGTAAGGGGTGATAACGATTCCAATCGTCAGTTTTGCTGCGGGGTCAGCAGCTTTCATACACTATTCCTGTTCATTGTCATTCTCGCGGATGCTGGCTGATGTAGTATTTCGTTTTTCGCACCGAGCGTTTCGAGGTTAAGCTTGATGCTGCTTCGTCACCATCCTACTCTTCTTAGTTGCCACTATCGTTCCGATCTTGAAATCGCGGCGGTCGTGCTCTTTGGTCAGTCTGGTTGCCTTGGAGTTGGAGTTGTTCTCGTCTGCGTCGATGCTGTTGAACTGTTGCGACGCCGCTAACCGCGAATGTTGTTGGCTGTCATCGTTTTGTTGCTTTGGCTTGTGCCTCGGGAGCGATGATCCGCGTTCTCACAACAACCATCACACGAAATTGATATTTGGATCGCTTTTTGATAGGACACTGTCTGCACAGCGTGGTAGCTGCTTCAGAGTCATGGAGCGATCCCTCGGAAAGTTGTCAGGTCCTGAGGGCAGCGAACATCAGCCGGCAGCTCTGGCCCGTAAGCCGCAAACTGCACAGTGATGTTCAGAATGCTTGCCGCTCGTGTTTCGAGTCGAGAAGACCTCACCACAGTTTTGCTGGGATATATTGATAGAACATGTGTGCTTCCGGAAATGCATTCAAGCACCAAGCACAGTCGTGGCCACTTCGCATGAACTTCAGACCAGACTCTGAAGAGTCACTGGTCTAGTGTCCAGTGCATGCACAACAGTGTACAGCAAACCTCGCCGTCTCGACTAGAGCATCAGCTCCAAATGCCACTTGCGCTATCAAGGCCTCAGCGCTGCGGGCTGCACCAGAATGGAAATCTTGGAGCAGACGAGGTCTCCCGTTGGCATCATTCACTGCTGCATGTTGCGATTCGCTGCGATTCCCAGAAGCAGTGCTGGAGGCTCGATACGCTCTGTCTCTCCAACAACGCCGCTGGGACTGCAAGAGTTCAAGAATCCCCCCCCCCCCCCACCCCCCCCCGA